TCTCGGAAGCGTCTTATAATCGAATGTACCCTCTGCCTTGTTACGCGGAATCGTCTGTAGATACATCGTGCCAAAAGTGTTTGTAAATGCAAAGTGACGATTTATTCACGGGGTAATTACGCATACATTATTTCTAAAATCTACCAAAAGTTTAGTATCATCAGGAAGGTAATAATGTAATCTACCTTGTGAAATAGAAGAAAGCAAGCGAACTGCTATGCCCTCAGAAAAAATTCGCTATGAGCGTCAGCGCGCGCTGTAATCATAATTTTGGCCCACCCTGTAATGAATACGGCTTCCTAACATTCAGTCCCTTTCCTTCAGGAGAGTCATTAATGAACAAGTTCTGATCTACCCATCAATCACACAAGACTCCGATCCATCTGAAGTTCCCCCAAGTTTATTCTACGACGGATTGAGGAGCAACTAGTCGGGGCAATACAATTTCGCGCAAACTTTTAGTATCTTTCTAGAGAACATCATGCTGTCTTCTCAAAAGTTAACACAGCGACCTGGGTGCCCACGGCTGGCAAGTACACAACTTCACTGACGTTATCGGGTTTATAGACCTCTAACAATAAGTAAGCGGAGTAAACTCCGATCAAAAACAGAAAACAAGTGAGTAAACGTGGAAAATCAGATGACAGTTGAAATAAACCAGATAACACCAACAAGAAGGATTGTTAATCACGACTCGTTCATGCGCATGGTTCTACTTCATGTCCAATTCTTACAGTGTTCGCAAATCGCTCTGTTGCGCACTATTCATCATCCCATCTGCTTCACATGAAAATGATCTAGTTGAAACTCAGCTGGGGAAGTTCTTCATACTTTCAATTTCACATTTTAATCGGCACATGTTCCGTTCAAATAATATGTTCATAAGCGCGATGACGACAGCGATGAGGAGGTGGCACGAACTCCGATGGCCTTTACACCCATGTGTTCTCTTTCGAATGGTATTACACTCCTAGATCCCACTAACTTTCTCCAGAAAGCAGCTTCTTTTTGGTTTCGGTGCCCTTTCTGCCTTAGCTTTTGACACGAATGTAGGGAGGCCCCTGTAGTAAACTAAACCAGTGATAGTGGATACATCATGCGATTTTATTATGGTTTTCACTAGAATATTTCTGGCAGATTCCCAGTAGCCCGCCGGCTTCAAAATTACACCTGCTGGGATGAAAAAGAGTCATCTACATATCTCTATCTAGAAAAGTTCATTCAATTCCATCGGTCTGCAAATGTAATGAATGGGGNGGGGGGGGGGGGGGGGGGGGGGCTAACAGGCAACTGCTCTATAAAGTCGATGAACAGCAAGAAAACTGAGGATATCTCTTATGCACCAATTCCAGCAATCCTACGTTCTTCGAAGGTGAGCGGGGAAAACGGTTTAAAATAATCTAAAACCACAGACCTTGGCTTTGTCCAAATGTTCCTCAGCTTCCTTTTTCTCACCAAATATGAAATCTCCTACAGCCTTCGCGGCGTTGGCGGTTTTGTCTTTAGCCGCTTCCACCTAAACAATATTTTACGGCCCTATGTGAAGAACAGTGAGGAATCGAGGAAGGACTAATGGTATAAAAATGATATGATTGTTTAGTACCAACCGCATCACCGACGAGTTCCTTTGTTTCACCCAGCACTCCACCAACGGCGTGTGCTGTGTCAGACGTCTTCTCGCCAACGACATGGCCTGCCTTCAAATGTTATTGATTGATTGGACGATCAATGGAAGGCAAAAGCTCGTGAGGTTAGGAAAACATGATTTGGATATGCCACGTTATAACAAGTATGTAAATACAGATTCTACTCTACAACATGGAAGTATAAACGCGAGGCCGAAAGTCTAAAAAGAAGGAAAAGCATCATGAATACCCATCCATAAAAGTTACACAAAAGGAAAATTACCTCAGACACTTTTTCAGTAGTCGCGTCGTAGGCTTCCTTAGCTGTATCGCTTACCCACGAAGTAGCCTGAAATTGAACATTATATGTGGTATATCGACCATGTGACAGTCAGTTTAAGACAATGGGAAGCTTATAGTCATCACAGCGAACAAACCTCGGCAGTTTTTTCAGCTGCAACATCATAGGCACCTTTGACTGTATCGAATATTCCGAAACCACCAGCCTGCAAAAGTAAAACTTGCAAATAGCAGAAGACAAACAAACAAAGCAAAAACAAAGGTCATAAAAAATAAAATATCAAAGTAGCACAATGAGAACAACCTTTGGTTCTTGGCCGGTATGTCCTGCTTCATGCGAGGGGTGTTTGGAGGGGTCATATAAATCGGCCTGAATAAAACAAAGGTAAGCGATATGGTCAGATAGGAACAAATAAAAACAACGACAAAAACAAAAACTGCTTGTTTTTAGCTACTGCAATATGCGGTTTTACAAATGCCCATACCATTACTGCAATTAATTTCACACCAGAATCGAGATTAGGCATTGACTCATTGCTTTGCTTGATACTTGATGTTTAGAACTATTACAAGACTGCTCTTGACCCACTTCCCATGTAAAAAGGAAAACGCATGAGGAAAGTCACTGATAAGCTACGAACCTCAGCTTTCTCTAGGTGTTTTTCTACCTGGTCAACTGCATGATCAGCTTCTTTCTTTCCACCAAAAATGAAATCACTGACGGCCTTAGCAGCGTTAGCGGTGTGATCCTTTGCGGATTCCACCTGAACACAAGTTATAGACGGCCACTCAATTAGTGAATAAGGAATGATGAAAATTCGATAGTGAATTCTATGAAGCCAGATAAGAGAAATAAACAGCACTAACCGCATCACTGGCCACTTCCTTTGTCTCTCCCAACACGCCACCAATAGCATGTGCTGTGTCAGTGGTCTTCTCGCCAACGACGTGAGCTGCCTTCAAGTTGATCGATATATTGATCGTTTCAACGATTTATTTGTATTATTTATAATAAATTTCGATTATAGGCATTGCCGTTAACCTGTACTGTAATGTGTTGTCAAAAGTAAGCAGACCGAAAACCAACTAGTAATCAAAAAATCAATAAGAAACACCAGTGAGATATCACTTCATTACTTATTCCATGAGAAGTAACCCTCATATAAAAAGCCACTTGCAAGAAAGATGACTCTCTCGACTGGCAAGCAACCCAACAATAGGGAATTCCCAAATAGGAGAAACGCTTCAGAAGAAAACATACGAAAAATAAATACCTCTGATACTGCCCCCGTAGTCGTGTCATAGGCTCCTTTAGCTGTATCGGTCACCCAAGAAGCGCCCTGAACTTCATAGGTGTGAAAGGAATATTCAAAATTTTGTCACGTAGTAAATCTGAACCTAAAACAAAAGTATACAGTAATTAGGATGAACAAACCTCTGCAGTTTTTTCGGCTGTGGCATCGTAGGCACCTTTAGCGCCGTCGGCCACCCATTTGGCACTCTGAATGTAATAAAAAAGAATAGATCAAGGGAATTTACGATCTAATTAATAGAAGCTGAGAGCAGGGAAAAATAGAGAAAGTAACACTGCGGAAAGGCGCTACATTTGATTCTCATCCTGGCGAGGTTGGATCGCCCAAGCCTTTCATCAGTGGCTGCATTCATAGAGCGACGCCGAATGGACGCCAGCGTCTTGGGGCAGACGCTTGCGTCAGGACGCAGGTACTATGAATGCACTCATTCACAGTTTGGAAGAATTCAATTCAATGAAAAACAAGCCGGCGAACAAATAAAAGCTACTACTCCCGCTAGCATTATCCCAGAAAACTTGTAAGCATTGCTTACCTCTTCCACTTTATGTTCAGCATGTTCCAAAACGTCACCGATTTGATCAGCTGCCGATGCTACGGTATCTTTGATGCCTTTCTGTAAATGCACATGTAAATATATGAATTACTACCGTACAATTTGCAAAGAGACGACGACAACTAAAAAACTCACGAGAAAACTCATTGTTTCCGAATTGTTCTTTTGATCAATAGATGCCACCTGAAACCAATTCGTTCGATGTTCGCTAACGGAAATGGGAAAATTTCGAGGCGTTTGAACGATAGTCCGCGGCCAAAGAGAGACTAACAGGTGGCCAAAACGGCCCTTTGAAAAAAAAAACGAGTGCGCAAGATTAGGCGGCAGAAGATAGATGGTGGAAAGAGCAATTGAGTGAGTTTGATAAGTCGATAAATCATTAAGAGGTAGACAGTTCAGGAATAGCGAAGGTGATTCATGATCTTTTCTATAAATACAGTATCCATGTTAGATTTCCAAGAACTTTGCAACTTTTTACCGCAGGTACAAGAACTACCTTCGTTTACCGTAATCACAACTGACACAAACTTGCAGGCGAGAAGCGAACTCGTCCAAATCAATAAATTACAATGGTGAGGGCAGGTAAAATAAAAAACTGTTTCAGCGTTATCTACATTAAATGTTAAGGTTGTCCTCAGGCCTGGTTTTTCACATATTTTATTAAGGCTAGGAGTTTCCACAAACCTCAATAGTTATGCCGTAAGGTAAAATGTTTTAGGCGACCTTGAGCCAAGTAGTGTCTAGGAGGAGATAGCCTTTGCTCTTTCAACCCGTGCCGGATACACGTGTTCAGATACTTATAGAGCTCCGTTTTTTTTTTGACAAGACCAACGTCACACTCCACTTTCGGCTTTGAAAAGAGAGTTGTGAAGTTGAAAGTGGTCCTACACCGATTGAAGTGTCAACGCGATCGTGTAAATCCGATTTCTTTTCCGAATGTCATCATTTGTTCGAGGAAACGGCCGTTTTTGTTGCGCAACGGAGGACACTTTGAAGAACACAGTGTTTTCGTCGGACTTCATTCGACTGGTGCGACACCCATCTATCGAGCTTTTTTCGCTCTCGTTTATCCCTGTACGATCGGGAATCGCCGTAAATATTACGTCTGAGTAACTCTGTGAGAACTTTTCCAAGAGGATGTGTAGGGATCATCCACTAATCGCTTTTAATTCAGGGATCTCATCCCTGATAAAAATTTTCGCAGCTAATCAGTTCCAATACGTTCAGCCTTCTCCAATACGATTCTAAACCCTAGAGGCTGCTGCTTGTCTGCATTTCGCTGTAATTTGCAAAGAAACTTGCTCGTGTGTGTTTCCGGCTGTTTTTCATCGAATTCTGGGCGGAGGGCGGAGATGATTTAGGTCAAGTGCCGCACTATCATACCATAGACCTGGGATAAAATTCCGGATTGCTACCTGGGTAGGCCATCAACGAATTCTACTCTCCGAGGTCTGCTATTTGGTACCTAGACTGCTGGAGAGGATTGAAGCGCTGTCCTGTACACGGGTGGCCACCGTAAGTCATTGTATCGACTACTACGCATTCAAACACCACTATGGTTTTGAATGGGGGTCGAATGTAAGGCGCATCACGCAACTGTGATTGATTAGATTTCTTTACCCTTTACTAACCATTCTAGATTATGGAAAAGACCACTACGATAAAATTCTGTCCACCTAACAAAAATTTGCACCATGAAACAACACCTCGGTGGAAACAGCAAAGGCAACGTGCAATAAGAAAGTTCATGACAACTTGATGAATGTTTTGGTTTTTCTGATTTTAAAGTGCAAAATAAATAAAACTGCCCCGTCAGGGACCTCTCCGAACCATGAAGTCTTAAGCCCATGACCCCCCCCCCCAAACTTTTTGCTCCCTTTCAATGTACACCTACAACCCCAGGCAGCTGTATGTACATATGTCTAGTACAGGCTCAAGTAGCCCATTCTCCTGCTATTGTCAGGAAAACCCTTCAAAGCTGATTGCTTGCCTGGATTCACATCATATGGATAAATAAGACGGGAAGAGACAGCTGATTGGCATCTGGCCAATAAACATGACAAGAGAATAGAAAATGCGGTCTATGACAGCGAAAATGCATTTCGCCCATTTCCCTTTACTGGCCGTCAATTCGACGATAAATTCATGCAATTTCAATGCGGTCTGCAATCGGCATTGAACATGCGGCTCTGTGTCGGTCTTTGGTATTGACTGGAATAACAAGAAAAGGACATATCAAAAAGGAATGAATAAGCCACTGGTATTATTCGGCTGATTTGTAAAACTTTCCGCAAACAATTTTCTCTCAATATTGTGGAGACTGCGAATGTACGTCCTATCCAGGCGGCCCGACCAGCAGACGTCGGGCCAAACAAAAAAAA